GCGACCAAGAAGCCACATCAGTGGAGGCGCCGTCTTGTCCTTGATGATGACAAGTGCACCCTCCTTCAGCTCGCCCTTGGATGTGTGCCATTTCGACTTTTTCTGAAGCCACAAAACATATTCATTATGAAAACGTGACCAGAAATGTTGTTTTAGGGCTTCGATGCGATGGAATCTTTGAAGTGACGAGATTCTTTTGTCAACCAGTTGCGGATGAGGCAATGCAACGAGAGATCGTCCGATGAGGAAGTGACCTGGAGAGAGAAAGGATAAATCTGACGGATCGTGGGAAAGAGGTGTGATAGGCCGAGAATTTAGAATTGCTTCTATCTGTATCAGAAGAGTTGTCATCTCTTCAAAGTTTAAGTGCGTCAGCTTTAACACGCGACGAAGATGATGTTTCACGGATTTAACCGCTAACTCCCACAAACCGCCGAAATGGGGAGTATAAGCAGGGATGAATGAAAAATTAATACCTTGGTCAATAAGATGGGATGACAACGAAGGTTCTTTTAATAATTTGGAAAGCTCGTTAAATGTTCCTACAAATGTCGTGCCGTTGTCTGAGAATACGCTCTGCGGCCTCCCCCGGCGTGCTATGAACCTGTTAAGAGCCGCAATGAAGGCTTCTTTAGTGAGGTCTGAGACAAACTCTAGATGTAGCGCCTTGGTGGCTAAACAAACAAAGACACAAATGTAAGTTTTTATTAATTTACACCCTCTACCTTTACGGTCTGCTATCAGCATTGGCCCGGCATAGTCAACACCGGTCTCGAGAAATGGATACTCTAGTTGAACTCTATTATTAGGTAAGTCACCCATAGCAGGTTGACATGTCTGGGCTTTAAATCGAGAGCACTTGACACAAGAGTGTACTATTCGCTTAGCTAATCTGGTCCCCCCTAATGGCCAATAATTATGCCTAGCCGTAGCTAATAAAAGTTGTGGACCGGAATGCATATAGGTAGTGTGTAGCATGTCAAATATAAGGTGACACAAACGATGCTTGCCACAAAGAAGAATGGGATGTTTCACATTATAATCATAGTAAGAATTATTAAGCCTACCGCCTACTCTAATAAGATTATCGGAATCTATGAATGGAGATAAAGATAAGAGTCTATTTTTATGCGGCAATGGTTTGTTTTCCATGAGAAGTTTTCTCTCTACTGGAAAAGAATCTTGTTGAGCTACTTGTAGAAGTTTTAGTTTTGCTATTTTAAATTCAACATATGACAAATGACTATTAAATTTTATTGAACCTTTACTCCGACAATTATTGATAAACCGTAAAATAAATGAAAAGATTCTTATTAATTTAGTAAAACTAGATAATTTTTGTATTAGAATAGATATTATATTAGATTCTGATTGCACTTCTTTAATATGAAATGTTTGTAATTCTGGGAGCTTTACATTATTATTCTGGTTTGGTTTTATAGGCCAATGACAAGAATCTAATTTTAAAAAAGAAGGACCTGACCACCATAATGTAGTGTTGCCCAATAAATTTGCTCTCAAGCCCCGAGAAACTAAGTCAGCTGGATTTTGCTTTGATGGTACATAGCGCCATCCATTTGATGTGTCCTGAATCTCGGTAACACGATGACGCACAAAGGATTTTAGTTGACTCGATGAAGAGGAAAGCCAGCCCAACACAATCATAGAATCAGTCCAAAATATACGAGCACTATATTCAAAGGTAACAGACGAAACAACCTTCGCACACAGTCTTGCACCCATTAGAGCCGCGCAAAGTTCTAAACGTGGAATAGTTGTCGCTTTGATAGGTGCTACTCTACTCTTGGACGCTAGAAGTCGAACACTGACTGACCCATCACTAGATGAACTCCGTATATAAACACATGCCCCGTATGCCTTCTCCGAGGCGTCTGTGAAGATATGTATCTGTGTATCCGTTGCAGACCTTACTTTATTGCATCTTGGGATTTCTATGTAGTTTAATCCTTGTAATGATTGAAAAAACTCTTTGAACTGCTGACTTATGTTTGGAGGAACTATTTCATCCCACGAGCATTTCAGTATCCACAACTGTTGAATAAGTAATTTTGCTTCAACAATACAAGGCGATATAAGACCAAGTGGATCGAAGACTTGTGAAATTACTGATAATATGAATCTTTTCGTTAACTTTTCTTCTGGGCTTATATTAATATAAAAATTAAAAACGTCCTTAGAGCACATCCAATTAAGACCTAAAGTTTTAAAAGGCTCTTTCGCCCCGAAGTCGACGCTACCTGATACCTTACTATGACCACTGACAGCGCTGCGTATCTGTTCGTTATTGAAGTGCCATTTTTTAAGACGGAATTTTGCGGTTTCAAGTGTTGCAATAACACCTTTGCACAACTCTACGGTCGACTCTACTGAATCCGCCCCAGAGATGAAATCGTCAACATAAAAATCGTGGCAGATGGCTCTACTGACATCTGGGTCAGTAGAGTCGTAGCCTAACTGTGAAAGGCATCTGGTAGCTAGATACGGTGCTGAAGCCGTACCATATGTTACGGTATTAAGAGTATACGTTGCAAGTGGATGCGAGGGATCGAACCTCGATAAAATGCACTGCAACGGACCTTGACTTTTATCTATTTTTATTTGTCGATACATTTTCTCGCAATCTGCTGAAAAAACATATTGATGTTGGCGAAAACGTATTAAAATAGAAATTATATCGTCTTGTATCGTCGGACCAACACGCTGGATGTCATTAAGTGACTTACTAGACGACGTGTTAGCCGAGGCATCGAAGACCACACGTAATTTAGTGGTTGAACTATGTTCTCTGTAAATTCCATGATGTGGAAGGAAGCAATACATAGAGCTAGGCTGCTCTGACAATGTTTCAGTCATATGTCCCAACTCTATGTATTCCTTCATGAAGTTTACATACAGCCGCTTCATGTCAGGGTCTCTATCCAAACGGCGCTCTAGAGAAAGAAACCTACGTCTAGCCATAGCTAATGAATCGCCTAGAGCTTCTGGTGATTCTTTAAGAGGCATAAAAACTACGTACCTTCCCTCATGTTCGCGATAAGTGGTGTCTATAAAAGATTGCTCACATGCTTGTTCATTTGAATTTAATTTATATTTATGAGGTATTGAGTCTAATGCCCAAAATTGTGATAGATCCACTGATGCATGATTAGAACTATCGTTATTAGTGAACATACATACATGACCCTTTAGCCCTGATTGATAGATGGCGCCTGATACTAACCATCCGAATTTTGTTTCAAATAACACCGGTTTATGTTTACCTAGCTCTATGCGATTTGTGCCGATCACCTGCCAGAACACGTCCGCCCCTACGAGCACATCAATGGTTGACGGCACGTTAAACCCTGGATCGGTCAAACAAATGCCTGATGGTAAATTCAATTCATGTGTATACTCTTTCGGTCGGTCGTGGAGCGAGTGTCGTCGTTGTCGCAAATATGTTAATAAATAAATATTCTTTCGCAATTAATACTACTTTTAATTACTGTGCAAAGCTTGACAAACACTATGACTATGAAAAAGTACGTTCACAGTACGTTATGATTTGAATTTATAACGACAATCTTTACTACAAAAATATTACTGATCACCACTAACTACGACTGATACAAATGAAGTAATGATACTAATGATAGATAGGATGAATTATGATAATGAAAATGATTGGAAGAAGAAAGAAATTGGAAAGATCTCACGGTTTTGATGCGAAGATGCCAACTTATCCGTTCTTCTATTTTGAATTTCTTCATGTGAAGAATAAGATGCCACTCGTCACGATGTTGCGCTGATGATCCACCTTGCGATCTTGATCGGAAAACTACTCTTCAGCTGGTATTCGTCCCGCTAACAAATCGATGTCCGTTGGACGGTGCGTAACGGTTTTTCTTGCTTGAACAGCTGATATACCGTTGCTCGCCGCTGCATACACCATCTAGCCTTCGTTGTCGTAACGCGACGTGGTCGTTAAGGACCAAATGTTGCTTTGTGAGATAAATGAAAAAGATGAATAAAAGATTGTGGACTGTAATTATAGGTTTATATGCCTTTTAGTACAAAGGTAGCCCGACAATATTATGTATCCGCGCGGTGTCTCGTGCGGTCGTGGAGCGAGTGTCGTCGTTGTCGCGGCACTCGGTCGGTGCCGAGCCCCGCTCCTCCTCCTCTTCACCTCATGCCCCGGGCTCGTCCGCGTGCGCGCGGGCAGTGTTGTCACATCCAGAGATATTAAGAAAAACACCTGGAAATTCACCCCCTAAGTGGGTGAAATAAGAGTTACAAATTTTTATGAAAGTCTATCAGTTTTAAAGTGAGTGAATGAGAGTGATCAAATATTTGTTTCAAAGTTTAAGGTAATTCTATTGCTATGAAACTATCACTAATAATTATTATAATGTAGAGATTCGCAAAGAAAGGATATTGATTATTGATTTATTATTTGATTATGATTTAAGAGGGCGAGGACATATTTTGGCGATAGTAAAGAGTATACAACTTTATTAAATATATTGCGAAGGTCAAGCACCTTTCTATACTATTTCGAACTTATCAATTCTTCGAAAGTCACGTTATGCTGTGTCAAGATAGCAACTGGAGTCGTTAACCCTCATCAATTAGCACCGGACTTGAATGGTGGTAGTTGGACTAGCCCAATCGCCGTACGTGATTCTATAGATATGGACGGTCCTAAAAGATGGGTAAGGTATTTCTGTTCGGCGGACGAAACGAGAATTACAAAGTTGTTTTGGAAAAAAAAACTTATTTACTTGAATAAATTCACGATCAAAAGGCATAAACATAAAATTGTTGAAGCAAAACTTATTGAAGAAATAAAATAAATATGGATTATTTAACAATGAATATTTAATAGAAATAAACTTTTAAGTATTCTCATAACATTACGGCATAATCAACAACGTTTATATAATCAACATAAGTAACTAATATTTTACTTAAAAAAATAACAAGCGCATTATTATTAATCAATCACTGTCAGTATCATATACATGTTTAATATTTATAAATTCAATATCATTAGTTTGGCCTGAAGTTGATGCTACTGGTTCTATATCTTCTAATTCACACTCTGTGAGAGAAGATTCTATATCCTTTTGCATATAATTTCGCGATATATCGTCTTGACTAGCATCACAAAACTTGTCGAGACTCCCTTCACCATTACCTTCTGTGAAACAAGACTTTTTCTCTTTACTTTTGTGCAACAAATTCCAATTATACGACAAAAAAGTTATTTTCGCCGCTCTTTCTGATGTAAGACGATTTCTTTTTGCACTGTGTATAAATGCCTGTGTACTAAACGAACTTTCTGTTGCTGCAAATGTACAGGGTGCAGTCAATACCCTAAGTGCGACTTTACTTAGCTGGCTAGAACCACAAATACCTTTCCACCACAAGAAAGTACTCATTTTCTCGGCTGCTTTCCAATTGAAAGATTTACTCCAAACTCCTTCTTTACCTCTGTACTGGGCAAGATCAGCAAAACAATCAATGTTGCAGTATTCTGCGAGATTACAAATGAATTCCATTGCTTCAGTTTCTTCAACTTAATTGAGTTCAACGCCAATAGATTTTGGATCGAGCATATACGTCGCATAATGTATGGGTTTTAGGCATTGTTTAGCTCTGTTTTCAACAGATGTTATTATGTTTGCTTTATTTTCATCGTCAAGCACTGTGATTGTCGGTAACACAAACAATAATTTTGATTTTAAGTTTTTAAATATTATACAGCGTGTTTGGTAATACCTGTATAATCCCGAATATGGCACATACGGTATGATGAATAGAACCCAGAAAAATGATCACTAAGACTGAAACCCAGCACATGACCTAGATATTCAGCTTTTTTTCTTCGAAGTAAAACTGTACGCTGACAACCCTAAAAACAGCTGTTGTGTTGTATTTGGTCATCGACTCCATGTGCCGAACTAGTTTAAAAAATAACAGAAGTTAAATAAATCTAAAGATAAATGCCTAGAATAAATATGCATCTGAGAGGAATTTATTATTTCCAAACAAAAAAAAGTTAGTAGTAAATGACTTTTAACTATAAAAAAACACTAATCTTGTGATTAACGGTGTTTCAAAAACTATTAATATGAAAACTTCTGTATTAATACAGTCAAAATAAAAAAGAAATTGCAAATACTTTGATTGAAGTTCAATATCTGCACCATTGCTCACATTAGTCTATGCAAGAAGGAGCGAGAGAGACATAAAATCGACGACGATGTGTATTGAGAAACTCGGGTTTCTGATGTGTCAGTAAGGTTCTGTAGATTATTTGCTTTGAAGTTTTGTTAATTTTTTCATAAAGCCGTGTTATTTTCACGAAACAATAAAATACGGACTTATACAATGATATTAATAATTAATAATCTAAGTATCTCTCTTATTCTTAGTTTAAATGATAATTAAATAAAGGTTAGTTGTAATGGAAAGGTCTAATAATAAATAATATTTCTTGACGCGGAACCCCAAAATCGGTACACTTTTGATTTAGGTACATTGGCACAGTATAAGAATGACACAGTATAGAAACTAAGCCTATTTGATAAAATAAATACCTACGCTCCATTGAAACCATAGGGTTGTCGTTTTGAATGTTTCTTTTACAAAATATAAAAGGAGTTCTGACATTATCAATCAATCGAATTGTAATAACTAATTAACAAACAAACAATATACATACACATTTGTTCAGACGGTGATATCTACTTATATTATTCTATTATCACCACATGATATAGAAATAACATATGCGAAAACTGGGCGGTTAAAATATATTTCCAGACTAAAATATATTTCCAGATCATACAAAAATCTTATTTTTTATTTCATATAAGCCTACTCCTTCCTCAATCTTTCCTTCATTTTTTAAATAAAAACGATCGCGGAACGTATAACATGACCCCTCATCTCGACGCGCTACGCGTTACTGAGCGTCCTGTTAGGTCCACTTAGGCGGCTCGTCGGTGAGCGTGTTTATGTGTGCGTGCGATTTCGAACGCTTGTAGGCAGTTTCACCACTGTATACTTATATTTACACTGTGACATTGGTGTTCGAGTTGCAATAATAATAACCTATGTAGTTTTGGTCATCGCGTCAGTCGCGACCGTGACTTTCATCGGCGTACTTGTGAGTTTTCAGAATTTAGAAGGTCAACTTACGTTTTCGTTCTTTCGGGACTTTTGGTTTGTTTTTCATTCTCGTTCTGTTTACCTGTGTATTATGTTTGTGTGCGGTCAGTGCAATGAATTCGTACTCAAATGCCTAATATTACGAGATGATAATGTGTGGCGGTGCTTGTGACGGTAATCTTGCTGCGGCTCGGCGGCGTTATGACGAGCGCCACGTGTCAGGAAGACCTGAAAACCATCGACGTCTTCCTTCTTACCGGTGATTCGCGGCATTTGTGAATTGGTTACATACAACTGGTTCATTCCATAGTGTGCCACAGGTAGGCCGGCCGATCACCTATTCCATCGAGACAGAGGATATGACTTTACGTCGAGAGTAACACGACACGGTCTGTGTCGAGTCGAATGGAGATGTGTGTTTTATGCGGTGGCCGGCATATCGAGACCCTGGACTGATAAAGTGGAGGTGAAGTGTAGGTAATGTTGACAAGTGAAAGCTGAAAGAGTGATTAGAACGCAATAGGTATGTACCTATTTAATCTTAAATTGTTTTAATTACAAGTAAACTCATACGTAGTCGAGTGCGCGCGTCGGCAACATCAAAATGTATTCAAGGAAACGAGAGAGTGAGAGGTAATGAGAGAGAGAGAGAGAGAGAAAGAGCGAGTGCGCCGGGACGGCACGTGTAAGCTTACAGGGTTGTAGCATAGTAATTGAAAACAAATTGTTCAAATATTTGTATGAAAATATCAATTTACATGAAATTGTTTTTTGACCTATCAATTGTGTTCTTTGTGCTAGGTTGTATGGCCATGTTTCGGGATTATACAGGTATTACCAAACACGCTGTATATACTTCATGTATATTGAATTCGTTGCCTTCTAGTTTAAGTATACTATCTGCCACTGGCTCAAGAATAGTAATATATTGCTCTATCATCAACCAAAAATCTTCATTAAAAAGAGTACTTTTAATATTTTGCGTTGGTGGTAGATTTTCATTAACAGCTAAAGTCTGTAATGCTGCTTTATTCATTTTCATACTTTTCAAAGCATTGAAATGACTGCCCCATCTTGTCTTACATGGCAGCTTAAGAGTGTGATTACAATTTTTCTCTTTCCTTATTTGATTTAATATAGAAGTTAAAACTTGACTCTTTTTTATATGTTTTATAACATCAACGGTTAGTTCTATGAAATTCTTAACTATGGTCGGTTTTAAGAAATCTAAACACAATAAATTTAAGGTGTGCGCTTCGCAATTCAATTTTTTAATAATTCAAACGACTTTTGGAGATTTCTTGCATTGTCTCCAATAAGTACAAAAAATTAACTTGCATCGTACCATTTTACTATTTTTTTCAATTTCACTACTTAAATATTCGCTAATGTGACGATTTTCTTGTGTATTAACACTTTTTATAAAAACAGGCTCTGGCTTTGATATTAAGTAGTTTATTCTACCTTCATTACATGTATCAGTCCACCCGTCACATTGTAGGTGCAGGAATTTCGATGCTTTTAAGTCATCACTAATTTCTTTGTATATTTCCTTGTATATCTTTTCGAAATATTTGGAAGCAATCATTTTTCTATTAGGTAAACTAAAATTTAGTTTGTGGAAAAACTTAATCCACAACGGGTGTTCGACCATTGATAAAGGCGTCCCTGTTATCAATAGGGCCCTTGAGAACTCTTCTCTTAATTCATTACTAGTTTCATTGGACGACAACCTGTTCTCCGAGTTCACAGAATTAATAACAGATTCTGGCGTTGATTCTGATACAGATGAACTAGCGTTTCGGTTAACATCTGTAATTTGTTTTTTTACTGATTGTGGACAGTCAGTACATGATAAAAGATATTTAGACATTTTTTGTATATGTCCTCTTTTGTATTGCTTATCACAGAAGCAGCATTTCACAGACTTGTCTGCTAGCTCGTGATAATGTCGCCATATCTTTTGATTTTTTTTGATCTTCCCATGATAGTGCTAAAAAATAAATTATTTATTTATTATTTCTTTAATTTTAATTATTATTTAATATTTATTTGTCGATACAGTTTTTAATTCAATGTACTGTTGAAAGGTTAATTGATATGAACGACATTTACAGGAGAGATTTAAAGGTTAATACGTACATTAACACTGTATTCACAAATTACTATTATTTCACGAAATTTATGTCTCTTAGACCAGAATGGATTATAGTTACATAGTTTTTCTACAGCAAATTTACTGAAAGAGAGCTAAACGACATTAAGAAAAACAGTATTCTCTATATACGTTACTTCATAGGGCAACCTTAATGTTCATTAGATATTTAAAAAAAAATGCTTATTCCAAAAAGATGACATATCGTATATGACTCGATATCACTAAAATTTTGCGCTTGGATCAATTAGCCTTTTAACCAGCGAGATGAAAGTTATATGTTTTAATCTATATTTACAATCAAAATAAATGATATCTATAAAACAGACATAAGAACACAATAAACGAGTAGAGTCAACTAGCTACAAAATACTGAAAATAATTTTAAACGGCTTACATATTACAATAGTTTCTTATTAGCTATATTCAATCAAGATATCTTTGCAAAATACGTAAATAGTAAATTAAATATCTGACTTACCGTACTTAAGCACTAATAGTAACACGTCACTTAGAATTGAATATAACAAATTGAATTGAGTTATCAGAATAGCAACTACACGCGCATATAATTTTCATTTTAAGCGGACGCCATGGCCAAGAGATGGCGTTAGTTTCTATGCGAAGTTTTAAGCATGCTATTTAACCTGTTATAGTAACGACCAGTATTTAAAATTTGGTTTATTAGGGATTATTAGTAACTCGCAAAACCAAAATTGTTCTCAAAGCAGAAAAACTTTTTATTTTATTCGAAAAAACTCTTCTTCTCTAATAATCAATTTAGAGTTTTGTTGATGTTAAATATTTTTTCAATAAAATAAAAAGTTATTCTGTACTAAGGAACAATTTAAGTTTTGCGGGTTACTACGTGTTTGCTTTCCAGTGTCGTCGATATGTGGATAAAATATAGTCAAAAAATCTTTGTAGTATATTTTTCCCATATTTAATATTTTTTTATAAATTAAAGAGCAAATGTATAATTTTCTTTATACTATATTCCAAGCAAACCAGCAGTATAATTCAGTTAGCGTATTTTATTCATATAATTACAGATGATATAAAATTACATAATAAAATGTGACTAAACTATAAAGATAAAATAATCAAATTGATTTATTGGTAATAGTAGAAATCAGATAAACATTGGTCACTGTGATTTCTATTATTATTGGAAAAAATTAGACGATATTTCTTTCTCAAGCACCCGACTCTTTTTCTATAAATGATAAT